TTTTTATGATTTCAAATTACATTATTTTAAAAATAATTTGCGAAAATTTATGCAATTTTTTATTTCAAATTTACAACGATTTTGTCTGTTCACTAGAATACAAACTACTCTTGTTTCTAATTTCACTACACGTGTACTAAAATATCTTTAGTGTTGTTAATAAAGGTGTTTGATTTTACAGATTAAGAAAGTAAAAAAATCTTTGAAGAGGTTTTTAAGGTTTAAATTAAAATTAAAAGCAATAAACTTCCCCAAAACAATTTTATACAGAATTTAAATGTACAGAATTATTGCATTTCTAAACGATAAAATACATGCAACTTCGAAAAAGGTCCCAAATATTAAAATTGTACTATTGATTTAAAAGTTTAACAATTTCAGGTTTTAAACTGTATTTTACATTTTTTCACATACAGATTAATTTCAGCTTTGTACGTTGATCTGTCCACCGTCGATCATTGAACTCGTTTTTCAAGAAATCAACAATTTACTGCAATATGATTTTAATACCTCCTGCTTTGATCTCATCGTTATATTCTTTCGTGTGCATGTATCCAACGTTACTTTTTTTGCTTCGCAGTGCAGTGCCAGATTTGTTGCGTCTGGGCATAGTGTCCGGCTAAGCGTGGTCGAATTCATATTACTCCTTTATTGTGTACTTCGAATAGAATTAATTTTGGCATCCACTCTATACATGATTGTTATACGCAACAAACAATACACAAGTCATGAAAAGAATACATTAAAATTAAACCCAAGTACAAAACCGATTTTGCTTTGCCAAAAATGAACGTGTGACCAGCAACATAATTTACAAGGTCATGTCACTTAGAAACGCCCAAAAGAATTCGAAAAAAACCACATGTGATTGCAATAAAATGCAACGATTTCCTGGTGTCCTTTCCTTTCACCCGACACATTGAATATCATTGTACATGTATACGAAGGCCCTATCAAGCCATCCAATGCGTGCATGTCTTGACACAGAAGCAAGAAAGGTCTTGAGCATAGCACTGCAAGTCTTGAGCACTATAGCGGAAGAACCCAATTTTATAAATTTAACAGCAACCATGTTTTCATGTACTTGCACGGTGCATATTACTCGGTCTGAAGTTGGTCATGAACCCATCTGTTGGGGTGAGACTATTGGGGCAAAGATGTCACAGTTACAAAGATAGCAGTTTTGTTTTCCGAAACAGCAGTTTTTAGTATAATACCAAAGGCAACAAGTACAAGCAATGTTGTAATTTTTCAAGAGATGAAATTGTGCCAAAAGGACCACAGGCCATAAGGTAAGATATACATGTACATGTAATTAATCAAAATTCAGTTTTGGGTCTGATTTCCAATTTTCCTATCCAGAATGTAATAGTTTTCGCAATACGCAGTCAGTGGAACCCCTCAAGACCAGCATGACAATTCAAGCACCGTTTATGCAGCATAGTGTAGCCATCTTGGATGTCTATAAACACAGGAGACATTTTATATCCATCACCAAGACCATTCATTACATGTACGCTTTCACAATGAGACATAATTGCTTATACTAATATCTTTAAAAAATCGCTAAATAAAAAGGAATTGGAGCACATTAAAAGATAAGAATACCGGCTGCTGGTTACTGAAAACACGTTCATCATTATGAAATGTTGAGATGAAAAATTATTTTGCAGCTAACATCGAGCATTTTGTGATCTTTACATCCCAACATAAGCTAAGTCAAATTCATTTTACTTATGGATGCGTCAATTTTCTAACCGTATTTCTACTGAAGAGACACATTTTTGAATCACGCACTGCGACTACACTCAACTCGACACTATGACACAACATACTGATTACTCTATGCAAGAGTGTGAGCAAAACTTTACCTTGTGAATTCTGATCCAATCCTCGCCAGATTCCTCACGGCACAGTATATAGATTACAGGGTCACTCCCTCCACTTGCTCCTTGGCAACTCTGCTCAATCTTGTTTATCAAAGCAAATCTTATTATTCCACGTCCAAATGGTCCTGAACACTGTTCCTGTATAAACTTCTTTCCCTTTTCTCTTTGGCAGCCATTTAATAGCAAACATCCGACAATCATACTGATACAACATCGGATTGGATGACTGGTCGATGATACAATCGTGCCTGGCAATAATTTTGTTCATTAACGGCAAAATACGTTTCTTGTGTTGGTGGGTTGTACATGTGATAAATACCAACAAATACTACGCAAAGAAAGAAATTAATTTAAACAAAGAAAGAAAGAAAAAATTGACGGGACACAGACTTTTTAAATAACCGAAGTTATCTTTCGACTAATTTCATTTTCTACGTTCTTTCCGAATAGACCTGTGACTTTTGCAATGTCAGAGTACCACTAAATCTTTCCCTTCCAGGGCCAATGCACACTTGTACACGTGTACGGCCAGGGCTCGTCTTTCTTATTTGGGGGGGGGGGTTCTCGGTGTTTTTAGCAGTGACTCGTGTCCGTTACGATCTTGTGTGTCCTTCTTTCCTTAAGACAACCCGTGGCGTTTGGGGTGAGTGGGCACTGTTCGCCGGTTATGGCGCTCTTATTGCAGAGTGCACAGGCCGGTTTTTGAGCGGTTGGTACCAAAGTTTCACCCGTCAGTGTTGCCTGAATGATGTAGGGTTTCATGACTCTTCAGCCGGGATTATTCTCATTCGTTCAATTGAACTAAAGGATTTCATGGGTGCAATGAACTTGAGGATACCAGGCACGATATGTGTGAAAGGGGGACCCCCTTAAGGTGATGCACAAGCTGTATATCCTAAGGCTATTGTGCCTACTGCACCCCCCTCCAAAATCTGAAAGGAATTCCAAAGATTTCATCAAAACAAAAGAAGACACAATAGAGGGGTCCCCCTTTCCCACATATCTTGCATCATATGGACTTGAAAAACTGCTTCTGTATTTTGCGAGACTCATGTTCACAATGGAAATCAATTGAATTGTCTAGTTTAATGACATCATTGTCAGTGGCCCACTTACCCCATTTCGCTATAGTTCCAGACGAATAGGCCCTATTTAGGTTAAAGTATTTTTGTTGTGATTCAAGCGGAGTTCACGAAATGAAGTCTTTTATCTTAAAACGGTGTCCCCATGCGCTTAAGTGTCCCACTTACCCGCTAAGTAAGGGGTAAATTTTAATAGTACCGGGAAGTCGCATCACGCTCCAATCGTAGATTACCTTTGTAACGACACTGAAAACGCGTTGGCCAGATCATCAACATACTGAAAAGAAATAAACTTTATGAGCAACATTTCAAAGGAGCAAAGCTACAAAATGTAAAGAATGCATACGTAACCCCTCTTGTAATCCCCTTTACAATCTTTAAATCCAATTTACGCCCCTAACACGATTTAAAGGATATGCAAAAATGATAACCTTAGAAATGTTTTACCTATAGTAGCACAGTGTGAACACTAGTTACATATTTTTAAAACTTAGATAGCTAGGCCTAGTTGTTATCAAAATTAATAGTTGGATAAAATTAATTATAAGCAAATTGAAGTCTGCAAAATTAATAACACGTAAAAACAAGCATCACCGTCACTAAACTCTATAGTCTAATTTGATCATGAAACGAATAATGTTCCTTGTTCGGATCTTAAATCAAGTCGGACTGAGGTTACTTTCCCCCAGTCAAACACTTCACTATGTATGCGCACGGTAGCACTCGGCCACTCCTATATTAACTTCTTATACAAGGCGCCCTCATTTTGACATCTAGAACGCGTAACCATAATTCTCGACTCAAACGGTAATATGTGGACATAAGAAGGCGCGAGGCGAGCTTGAGATAGTCAGGTTTCCATCCCCTATGTCGTCTTCAGACGTCTGCTACATAAGGGCGTCCCTTTTTTATTCTATGGCTCTCATTTTTTCACCTTGAGGGAGGGTCGGTCGGTGGAAAAAAATGTGGTGGAAAAAAATCTGGCCGTATACACAAAAACCTAGATGAAACGAAGCGTTTTGTTTTTTATTTTTGTGATTAGAAAATATATCAAAGAAAATAAACAGATCTTCATGGCAAAATGAAATAAAATGGAATGTTGATTTGATGTTGTGAATTGATCCGAGTGTGATGGTTACTGAGCAACACGTCAAGATAGTTTTTTCCTGGAGTTAATCTGCACCATGCTGCTCACGAACGTTTTGATCGTGGTCGATGTGGACGCCGCCATGATTGAATGCAACAGATTCGACTTCGAATTGCTTCCATTCACCCGAATTCCAATCTGTTTGTGCACCAGGTTTCCATATCTTAAGTCCGTGGATTTGGCATTTTTAATTTAATTTAATCCATGCTTGTTCTTCTAATTTTCATAGTTATAAAAAAGAAAAATTTTATGTCCAAGTGGTATCTCTCGCGTCGATCCAGGAAAAACAAAGCCTTTTGAGGACTTTGAACACGTTAGATATAAATTGAAATTGGTCCCACACCTTAACTTCATTGGATGTACACATATACACATTTTACCGGGTACCGGGCGCCAAGGCCTTCTCCGAATGAATGGCTGTGGCAAACACACCTATGGAGGTTATGGAGGATCCCGACTTGAGTCAAGTCTATTGACTTGGAGGCGTACGCGTCTTGTATTCTCGGAATACCGGCTAAAAGCACCTTCATTTTCTACCCCCGACACATTACACAACGACAACTGATCAAAACAAGCCGGGACGTTCCTCAGAAGATGGGTTAAACTTCAATTTACTCCTTTTCGAACGTAGGACGTGCTTTGGATTACAGGAACAGCCTCTCACCCAGTTTACGACCGTTTCAAAGCAGCGTAGTGCAGGGCGTGTCAGTCTACCGTTGATTATATATGTATCTCTATTACACATTTTGGTCACACAATCTCACCGTTATCGACAAATATTAATTGTAAATACCACAGGCGTCACAAGGGGAGACAAGGGGCGCACCCCCCCCCCACGGGGGGATATGAAACAAGCAAAAGGCATCAAAAATTGAAAGGAATGAAAATCACCAAAATGTATTTAAAATAAAACCCCTTAAAATAGCCGCATTCCAATGTTTATCGTTTATCAGTTCGATGCTGATGAATGCTCCCCCAAAAAATCCCCGACAAAATGGCGACGCCCATACATGGATATATTTAAATAACCATCAGCTGCAACAAGAATATGAGAACGGGAATATACGTCACCTGAAGAAGCCAGGTATACATGTAGATCTCAATGCAAGCTGTGGTACATTACTTGACATTTTATTCTTTGGCATAAATACATTTCCAAGCTTATACGATAATACAAAGTAGGCATACAGTGTACTTTCAGTGTAACACTACATTGAAATGGGGGGAACACTGAAACTCAGAGGATGTAGTCTTGCAGTTAATGCTTTTACTCATCTACTAAAGAATTTCTGAATATGAATGTTTCATTTGCATTAGGCAATAATTTAGCACTGTGTCCTTGGTGGATGGTGGAGTAATAAGTAATGGCAGTCAGTGTTGGTGTTAGTATTAAGTGGTTGTGTTAGGGTGAATGAACTTTTGAGGATTGTTGCCTATGTCAAATGTAACATTCATCCTTCGATTTCTGATACTAAGAAATAGTTACGCATGCTTCAATTTCGTCCAAGTTTCATTGTTCCCATCTAAAATCGCTTATACCTATTACTCCTAGTACATTCCTCTAGATGTTTGTAAATCGAAATATATCGGGAAAACCAACTACCTGTCAATGGGTTCTTTAACACAAACTATAAAATAGCACTGCTCATTTTCTAAGTCCAGCATTAGTCTGATTGTTTTGCTATTGGGAATATGCTCATTGATAACTGGAATGAAGTCAGTGCCGTCTTGTGGTTGGCTGATGGAGGCAAACGAGTAGAGCCCTCCTTTCACAAAACTCCGCATCTCTTGAGTCCGACACCACAGCAACCAAGCACCAATCTGACCGAGCCCGATGACCATAAACCTCGGGTGCACACGAAATTGTTTTGGAAACTGCTAATGGTAGTAGAAAGTCTTGAAAACTCTATTCAAACAAAAATGAAATTAAACTGTTTTCATGGTCCATCGTGCCTTTACATTTTAAAAGTGAGTTTCTTTACTTTTGCCAGATCACAAAAGACTCTTGATAATAACATTATATCGCACAATGTGTGTACATCTTACAGTGCATACTTTATGGAAAAAAATAAGTTGGCAACAAAATAAAGCAATCTAACTATTACGTAATGAAATTCTCCAACCATAATGCTCCGATAACTCCAAGATGGAAAGTGTAGACCGATGCGTTGTCTTCGAATGTCTCTATTCTTCGCAAACATATACCCTGGACAAATAGACGGAAAAACAGTACACACAATAAGCATCTTCTAAAACAAATTTTAGATTTGTTTTTTCAAAACCTACAAGCGTCAGTAACAAAGATACACTTCTCACAACAGAATCTGTGGAACCTAGACTACGTTTGCATATCAGTAAGAAACAAGGGACAAGAATGTGGAAACACTAAAAATACAAAACACATAGGAAAAACTACCAATCGGAATGGATTGTCGCATTATCTTCGGTGGTCATGCCAAGTTCACCCACTAGGTAATAACTTGCTTCCTGGATTTAGTCCCTGGAGAGCAGAAAAGAAATGGAAACAAAGTTAACTTCATGTCCGCAGTAGTGTTAATTTGTCATTGAATCAAACTCTTCTGTCCTTTTTAAAAGGATCAAAAAGGTTTCACTCTACGAATAGGCTTTAGGTACATGTTTTTTCTGTTTAGTCTTCAAGTAATTCTGTGGAACAATTGATGTGGTTGAAGATGATCAAGTCAAATAGCAAATTCATCCATGCGAGTGTACAAAATGTATTTTCAACAGCGATGACATTGACTGATGTATGATGCCTCCGAAGTTTGCTGCAGTTATTAAAATGCTTCCATTATCCAGTGCCTAGATATCAAAGACAAAACTCTAGAGAGAAAAATCAAGATCAAGGTAATTCGTTGTCAATTAAATTAAACAGCGATAATCAAAACAATCACGATGTATGATGTCTCCAACGTTTGCTTCAGTTATTAATTAAAATGCTTCCATTATCCAGTGGCCTAGATGTCAAAAGACAAAACTCAAGAGAGAAAACTCAAAATTAAGTTAATTCATTGTCAATTAAAATTAAACGGCGATAATCAAAACAAACAAAAATCAAATGCAAAAAGCCACTTACAAGAATGCAAAACCCACAGGCTTGAAAGCACAATTTAAAGGTCGTCGAATAGACATAATTACACTTCAAAATACGTTTTATTTTTATTTAAAAACAAACCAGTCGAAGTCCTGTGTCCGGTCCTTGTCATTTTACTCCCTGGTCACAGTTTCGGGCCTCAAAAGACAGAAAGTAAACGAGAAAAACCATGAGCACATATCAAAAACTGCGCGAACGACACACACAGCCATAAAAGCTACCATCGGAAACGAACATGGATATCTAAAGCAGAACTCCTTAACTTTATTCGCAGTTCGAGTTGATTGATCAGTTGTCTACAGTCAGCTTCCTCCATCGTCAGAATCGTACATCTGCTCATCGGAGTTAATGATGACAAATGAACTTGTTTCTTTTGTCAAAAGAAAGAAGACGAAAATACAAAAGACGCATAAAAAAGAAACAACCTGCAAAACGACAATCAAACACAAATAGTGGAAGCCAACAATACGCCATGGAAAAGAAAGCACGAAGAGAAAAAAGAAACTTAATATCTCACCTTTCGTTGAAGAGGCCAAAAAGTTTTGCTAAAACTGAAAACTTACTTATCTTATGCACTTTAGTGAGGCACGTCTCATTGTTAAGTGACCAGTCATTTTCCGATCACTTCCTCCTGCTTTGCGCATCCATACCCTATGAATCAATAGACACCATCTTGAAACAGCTAACAAAGTAATTAAATTGAAATCCGCAGGTCAACGAAACAAGAAGAAAACCGAGAGCTAACGAAACGACGGGACGAACGCGACAAAAACGACGGCAAGTAAGGTCTAGCGCACGAACTGCTATGAAGAAAAACCATGAAAATTCCCTCGAAATTAAAGAAAATGTAGCTTCGGTACCTGTTTTGTTTGGGGAAAATTGTGAACAGTTTTGATCATATTTGGATTAAACAAATAAAATTAGGGTGACTTTTTTTCAATGTAACAGTTGTCGTCGAAGCAAACTAACCAGTGTCTTCAGCTTGATTCGGCTATCTGTCCAGAAGCTCCATACATCATTTTTCTGGACATCAAAACACAGACACTAACGAATAAACGACAGAATGCGTTAATTCCACACGAAAATTATCAAACCGAATCCAAGGTTTTGAAGTCTCAGCACAAAAACACCCTCAAGAGCTCGAAAACGACGGTAAAACGCGACGGTTAACGACAATTTAAAAAAACGGTATAACTGTTAAAATCGATTACTTTAACGGTTATCAAAGAAAATAAAGATAAAAATGGCATAAGGACAAGGAACGATACGAAATGGAAACTACTAAAGCAGAAAATGCAGAAAACAAAACCCCCGAACAACTACAAAACAGCAAACACAACATACAGCAAAACAGAAACAAAATGACAACAAAGAAAGTTGACCAAAAATGTGTTTACCTATCAGGTTCTGTACGTTTTTTTTCCTTTGTCGAACACTTGTGTCATACAATCCTGAACCTGAAAAGAGAAAAAACTAAAAAAAAAAAAAGAAAAAAAAAAAAAGAAACGTTACTTTGAAATCAAAATCATGAAACGAAATGCCAGCCCAGGTTACAGTTTCGGACCTAGAAAGATAGAAAGTAATTGAAAAAAACAGAAGCACATATCAAAAACTGCGCGAACGACACACACAGCCACAAAAGCTACCATCAAAACGGAAAACGAACATGGAAACGAAATAATAAGATAAAACGCGATATACACGAGCCACGGAATATAGCGTAGAGAATTACCGGAGAAAAAAAGGAATGACCAACAAGAGACGAGAAGTTTGAAAAAATTCCTAAGATAGAACTCCATTAATTTAACTTTGTTGCAGTTTGAGTTAACTGATAGTCGCCTACAGTCCGCTTCCTCCATCGTCAGAATCGTACATCTGCTAATCGGAGTTAATGATGAACGCGACAAAAAAAAGGTACGTCCGATGAACAAAGATCTAGCCTACCAACTGTTTTTGACGAAAATGCAAAGACGGCACAGATAGAGACACATTTCCCTCAAACTTAAAATAAAGTTAACAAATAAAATAAAGCTGACGTTCATTTCAATGTAGCACTTGTCCTGTCGAAGCAAACTAACCAGTGTCTTCAGCTTGATTCGGCCATCTATCCAGAAGCTCGATACGTCAATTTTCTGGACATCAAAACACAGACACTAAAGAATAATAGACAAAGTGCATTAATTCCACATGAAGAGAATCAAACGGAATCCAAGGTTTTAAAATCTTAGCACAAGAACACCTTCGAGAGCTCGAAAACGACGGTAAAACACGACGGTAAACGACATTAAACGACGATTTGAATACCGGTATAACTGTTAAAATCGAGTACTTTAACGGTTATCAAATATGGGATAAAAATTGGCTATGGACAAGAAACGATACGGAATGGAAACTACAAAAGCAGAAAATGTGCAAAACTAAAACAAAACAGAACCCTAACCCCCAAACAAATACAAAACAACAAACACCACAACACACAGCAAAACAGAAAGCAAAACAAAATGACAACAAAGAAAGTTTACCAAAGTTGTGTTTACCTATGTTCTGTGCGTTTGCGTCATGCGATCCTGAACATGAAAGAGAAAAAACTAAAAAGAAAGAAACGGTACTTTGAAATCAAATTATGAAATGCCAGTCCATAATAAAGACACATGCAAGAAAGTAAACACTATTTATGGGATCGAAAGCAAGCTCAAAAAACACCGACCAGAAGTGTGTTACAAAGACGCTCGTTTATGAATAGTTAATTAAGGGAAACAGGAAGGGGTTAAAACTTGCATTCAAGCAGAATGTCCGTTCAAATTCATTAGAAATACATCTAAAATATAATTCTTTATTCAATAATATAAAAAGTTACTACTAATTGTCGTTTATAGTTTGACACCCCGTGGATCGACAAAGCTTATAGATTAGATTCTTCCTTTCCCTTCCGTTTATATTTATTTAGCACTTCCTGAATGCACAATAATAATCACATTAGAGTAACGATGTCAAAAACATTTGCCAAGCCATGAAAACAGACGGGAGATTTCACATTGCTTGTCTTTGTTACATGTGTATTTAAATAAAGATGACTTTTATCAAGAAATGTTTCAAACCTGACATTCATGATTTCTTTCTGAAAAACTTGAAAACAACAACACTGAAAGTGATTTTCCGGCGGTTGCACTGAGTAAATATGCTTTCGGCTGTCGTTATATTATAAAATGAATAAATATTGGATTTTTTTGCTTGTATTTTTAAAGATACTTGTTTACTGGCGATTTCGAATGGCCAAGCTTACGCAGCTGAAAGCTGAACATGGATATAAATGCTAAGATGCACACTTTTGAAACTGAGTGACCATTTTTATTACATTCCATGGCTGAATTGGACACTTCACGTCTGAACTTTGAAAACAGTTTTTACATCCCTTGTGGTTTGCTTTGAAACTGGACTTTTTCTTGAACAAAGAAATATTTTTCAATCGTTTCTTCACATCTGTTGGTGCCATTTCTGTGACGTCAACCAGGGAGTAGGCTATTTATATTGTGATCCCATTTCTGAATGACAATCAAACTGCACTGACACTGCTCTGCAATAGTTTACCATGAAATACTCCGTAGAAATTGATTTAATTGAACAATGCAGGTACCCTATGTGACATACGGAATAAGCTTGTATGTGCATCAACAAATCGCCCGTATGAGGTGACTACAATACAGTAATCTATCTGGACCTACTTCATAACTTGTGAACATTATAAATATTGAAGAAAAGCACTGAGAAACCAAGACAATCCCAAACGACAATCCGCATAACCTGTAGCACAACTGAAATCAGACTCCAATCAGCCTCAATTAACCGTATAACCTCACCTGCTTGAGACATCAAGATACGAAGACATTAAGACGTCAAGACATCGAGACATCGAGACATCAAGACATCGAGACACCGAGACACCAAGACATCAGGACATCAAAGCGTCAGGACATCATGACACCAAGACATCAGGATATCAGGATATCAGGGAAAAAAAGTCAGAGGTTGAAATGACTTGGAAGGAAGAACTCCAACCAGTCCAATCCAACCAATCTCATCATCCACTTTCCAAAGACATCAGGATATCCAGACAACAAGACATCACGACATCGAGACACCAAGACATCAGGAAATCAAGACATCAGGATATCAAGACATCAGGAAATCAAGACATCAGGACGTCAAGACACCAAGACACCAGACAATCAGGACATCGTGACACTAAGACGTCAAGACAATCAGGACATCAAGACATCAAGGCATCAAGGCATCAGGACATCAAGATACTGAGACATCAAGACATCAGGACATCAAAGCGTCAGGACATCAAGACATCAGGATATCAGGATATCAGGGGAAAACGTCAGAGGTCGAAGTGACTTGGAAGGAAGAACTCCAACCAATCCCATACAACCAATCTCATCATCCACTTTCCTAAGACATCAGGATATCCAGACAGCAAGACATCACGACAACGAGACACCAAGACATCAGGAAATCAAGGAAATCAAGACATCAGGATGCCAAGACATCAGGACACCAAGACATCGGGACGTCAGGACGTCAAGACATCAGGACACCAAGACATCAAGGCATCAGGATATCAAGACACCGAGACACCAAGACGTCAGAACATCATGACATCAAGACACAGAATATCAGGGGAAAAATTCAGAGGTCGAAGTGACTTGGATGGAAGAACTCCATCCAATCCCATCCAACCAATCTCATCATCCACTTTCTTAAAACATCAGGATATCCAGACAGCAAGACGTCACGACAACGAGACACCAAGACATCAGGATATCCAGACATCAGGATGTCAAGACATCAGGACACCGAGACATCAAGACAATCAGGACATCAAAACGTCAGGACATCATGATATCAGACATCAGGATATCAAGATATCAGGGGAAAACGTCTGAGGTCGAAGTGACTTGGAAGGAAGAACTCCCACCAATCCCACCCGACCAATCTCATCACCCACTTTCCCAAGACATCAGGATATCCAGACAGCTAGGCATCACGACATCGAGACACCACGACATCAGGACTTCAAGACATCAGGATATCAAGACATCAGGACACCAAGACATCAGGACACCAGGACACCAAGACATCAGGACGTCAAGACATCAGAACACCAGGACACCAAGACAATTAAGACATCAAGACATCAAGACACCAAATCATAAGGACATGGAGACATCAAGACTATAGAATATTAAGAGACCTGGACATCAAGACACCAATACGTCAGAACTTCAAGGCCTAGAGACATCATGACATTAAGACCATGCGTAGTTGCAATTATTTTTTCAGACAATTTTCTTCAACTTTCCATTCTACTTCAATGTACAACAACTCTTTTACTGTCCTAGTTTGTTAATTAAATACATTGAAAATCTGTATGCTTTTCAACAATTAAAATTGTCCATAGTTTTTCTGACAACTGAGGGCGCCGTTGCTTTGAAGTCATTCAGGGAAGACGTGGTTCAGTGGACAAATGTTTCTGTTCGAACTGTGGAGCCAAAATTTACCAACTGAAAACATTTCTTAGGGAGGGATTGGTGCTTTTTTATTGATATGCACATAAACAACAATTAATCAGCAAAGAAGAAAGAACCGAGTCCAGGACTTTTTGTGTTCAAGCCAATGTAACATTGAAGCTTTCTCGCTGGAATGACATCACAGTTTTGTGGAAATGCTTATAAGCATAAAACCACAAAAGTAGTGTACAACCCTTTGAAATAGTGGAACAACACTTGAAATAAGGTAGTAACTGAGACACATCAGCACAGAAAGAGGCCCGGGGACTTTGGAAAAGAAACTCCAACGAATTTTTACAAGCATTTCAGTATTTCCTTTGGTTACTGTACAAGACATAGGTCTAACTCTAAATGTTTAATGAATTATTTAGAATCTTGTTGGTCTGGATTTGAGACGGTTAGGGTTGAGAACGGAATAAATAATTTGATAAATTGTGAAATTGATCAGCCACTTTTTGCTCTTATTCAGCATTCCGTTTCAGCATTTTCAGTAAAAAGTCTTTCAACACCGTAAAATTTGCCGTTCGAATTCGCCAATGGCCAGATATTGAAATATCAGCAAAAATATGAAAACTGTGTCAAAATACTTCCGAATTAACTTTCCTTTTTGTTTGCAATTTGTGTCTTTTCTTGTCATGAATCTTTACCTTAGTAATGGAATAAAGACTGTGTACGAATGATGAAATAACGATTTAAATGTAATATTAACCATGCAAACTAAACTAAATATGTTTTGTAAATTTATAGAGTTTGCATTCTTTGTTTCATTTCTGTATATCTCGTCCCCATTTCATTTCTTTTTTATATTATTATAAAGAATTTGACAACAAGGTTTCCTAAATAATATAGTTTACGAAACAAAGAACTTGTAAATGCATATCCTATCATCTTGCCCAAGCTTGCATCCCTTTTTCCGATTCAAAACTTAATTATCAGAAAGTGTGAAAATAAGGATTTTAAAATAACTTTCCACTGAACGACACTTAAAAACACTGAAAAGATACAAATGTATCGAATTTTCTTAAATGATGCCTTAAAAGTGAATTAGAACGCATGAAATTTAATGACGGATCAGCCTCGGACACGTCAGTACATAAATTCACTTCGACTTGGCCACGACAAAAAGACGTTTTATTTGAAGGGTTTGTTTTCAAAATGAGCTATATGGGTCATTCCATGTCAGACCAGTGCTTCATTTTTAAAATGGGGCCAAAGGTCACAGATGTGTGTCAAAGGTCATGCAGCCCTTGATTCTCAAAGCTAAATCTTCGCAACATCAATGCAATAGTATGTTCTGATTATTTTGAAACCAAATTTGCATATATTTGATAAAAAAAAGAGACGGTTATGTTCAGTTGCACTAAAAGGGCGAATTTTAAGTGAAAACTGTCCATTTTTGTTGATCTTTACCCCGACCACATGGAAGGGCAATTTCCGCTGATAATTGGTACGTATTTATTATTCATTGATCTCTGCATGTACATGCACAGCAATTTTTATCAAAATCTCAAGCCCTAGACTTAAAAAGGTGTGTTGGTCTGACATGGGATGACCCATATCCATTTGAAAAACATACATTTTTCACAATTATGAAAGCAGTGTATATTTATCTTTAAACTTCTTTTCACTATTTTGACTTACTTATTGAAGTTGTGTTTGGCTGTATGAAAGCTGCAGAAACTGGCTGTACGCAAATGACAGAGGGTAGGATTCGGAAAGGTTTTGGCGCTTATCGCATTTTGGAAATAAACTCCTCATTTATTTTATAACGCATAAAATAAGTAAAACGTTTATAACTCATAACATTTACAATTACGGTCATCAAAATACCATCAAGCAACGCCCAAATAACGCAAGATTGCTGTGGTATAGGAGCAGTATTGAAGGGGCTGTAAACTGTGGCCCCACATGATTACATGTGCCTACAAGGTGAAATAGTCGAGTTTAAATAGTGCTGGATATTTATTTCCCTGTTGTTGGATACGATTAGATTACTTAAATGCGTCTATATATTAGCAAATCGTGAGCAAAATGTCGCCAGCCAGAGTCTGGAGTGTTGTCAGAACATGGAAGTAGGAATGTATTCGTATATTCGGGTGAGTGCACATCCGATGCCGTCGACCAATTTATGACACTCGGCCACATTTTCTCCAGCCAAAACTAACAAAATTATGCACAAAATATCTGAACAGAACTGTCTACTCCTTCCCCCACACTTATAGCTGCACAACCACAGGGGGAGGAAGGCGATTATTCACCGTTCTGCGAAATGTTAGCACTACTTACGGGAACACGACACCATTAGGTGTCCATTTCTTGTGGTGGGCACATCTCTGACGCTCAACCTGTCTTCACTACACGTACTCCATCCCCCATACTGCTAACAACATAGCACGCCGTATCCCTCCGATGATGCTACAATAGACTTATTCACACAATCACCTGTTCGCGAGCGCATGGCTGCGCAGTTGGCATTCTGGATCAGACTTGTGATTGTCTTCGAAAACGCGCTGCTTCTTCAACGAAAACAATGTGGCTGTTTCCCAGGCAAAATTGAGTCCAATCCTGTGTCTGCAGCTCGGTCAACGTTTTATGATGGAAACTCTGATTCAGACTAGGCCAGTACCCTTGAAAGAAATTTTCAGAAATTCGTATGTCAATGCTACCGGGCTACTTGCACTTCTTATACTTTTATTAATTTCAACTTAACTGTTTCGAGTATTTTATGTTTTGATCTTAACTTGTTTCCGTGGTTCGTTTTTTTATAATTAATTCAAATTTTTCTGTTTTTATAGAAGTATTTATATAAGAACAATTTTAACCACGTTTATGCTCAGATTTAATTCCCACCCCGTCCTATCTTCAGCCCTTTTAAATCTTAGTTTTATAATTGCAGGGATCCAATGGAAATCAGCTTCCGCTGTTTGGATTTTCCCTAAAGTAAAAGAATAATAATAATATAGTAGTAATAATAACAATAATAAAAAAGGGGCTACAAAATTAATTAATACCTCAGTGCGCGAAACTCGTCTTATCTTGCAACTCATAAACTAAAGAGGGAACAGGAAAAAACATATATCTGCAGGGAGAGGTAGGAAAAAGGAAGAAATTGTGTGACCTTCTCCAGCGTGGCGGTGTCTCATCTGGCACAGTGTGTCTAAATTGCACTGCGCGTTAGAACCTTCACGATAAATGCACGCTGTTTTACGACATGTATCAAGAAATCCAGCTAGAACTTTTGGGTAAGTCTCCAGGTGTAAATATTATGGCTAAAAAGAGGCCTTCAGTTGGAACTCCGGTTCGTACGCTCGGAAATCCACAGCCTTCTCCGTCAAAAATTGCAATCAGATACGTGCAGTCTAATTCACCAGTCAAATACTTCAATCTGGATTATCACCCCGACTCCTCAGCTCATCAATCTCTCATGAAATGCGTACAGACATGGCCAGAAATACCCGAATATCAACGGTGCTATCCGAATGTGGACGGGACGAGTTCGGAATATTTCGGTCACGTTGGCATTGAGTGGTACCGAACTCTTGACTCGACGAGAAAAGTCGGAATTATCGGGTCTAGTATTCACACTGGCGTGCTGGCCTCCGTCCCAAAACGACCTGTGGTGTTTGGTAAATGTACGTGTTTCGCCAGTGAGGACTCCTCCAGATAAAGTGCCTGCAACTACTACACCCGGTTTAGACAGGCGTTTTAGGGTCGCGCCGAACCAAATAGGATTAAGACCGACCTGGGTCGACCTAATTAAATTTGGATTCAGACAGACGACCTTAATACATACATTGGGTTCCAAGTCGCTGTGACTGTGTCATTCCGAGTGCCACAGTCGATCTTTCGCCTGCTAGCACGCCTGGTCGCTCCTACTTGTTTTAGACAAACTTTGTTTTTCAGGGTTCTGCGCGACTGTAGAACACCTGTCTGAAACAGATGTTAGGTAACTTGTGTATGGAAAAACTGTCCAGATAAAGAGTCTGTCTTTATCCGCACGATGTCATGGTCATTCGTTTCCTTTACCATGCAGATTAAGTCGTTGGGCATTGCTGAGGAAAAGCCAGATGCAACTATCTCTGCAGGAAATCCCGATCAGTGTTGCTATTCACCGATTGTTGTGTGCCGTAGGCAAGTGTCGACGGGAAAAGTTAAGCCACCAGTAATGTTAGCAACCCCTAAATGCGAAACAAGACGACTCTAGAGATTAAAATTTTATCTTTTTCGTCGTCAAGTTTTCACCACTGATATCTAAAATCTCTTTTTTTTCTAAACCAACCTGTAAACCTTGAGACACAAAAAAAAATGATCCTGACTGGGCCATATCCCTGATCATAATTAATATTAACCTCGGAGGTATTATGTGCCCTCCGTTTCAGGTTGACCTGTAGCTATTTACGTCTTTGGTTTCACCACTAAGTGTCAGAAGAAAAAACCTGGACTACAAAACATTTAACCACTCATCATCAGCATTTTTCAAGTCATATCATTTCCTGCGTTCTCCGGCTTTCCGAATCGACTTGTGATGTTTGAGATTGTTTTTGCTATTCAACAGAAAACCTCGAACAAATGAATTTGACAAGTGAACCTTCGAAATTCAACCCACAGTTCTACATGTCCAAGGTCAGGGTTCGTCTTCCTGTTTGCTTTTAGGAGCTTTAGCACTTACGCATTATCCAATCCGATTTTGTGACGAGGCGTTGCTTTAATGATTTCGTGGACCTTATAGGCTTTGACGAATCTTGTCCGGGACTATTCTTGGTCGATAACTGAACTGGGGAACCTTTTGTGCAAGGAATGTGGACTGTACAGCTTGTACTAAGATCTATTTTGCGAAATGTGGGCCTACCTGTTCACAATGGAAATACGTACGTGTGTATTAATTGTTGGTTAATGTCCTATTGAAGTATATACCCCATGCATTCAGACGAATGGGACACAGTTTAGGTCATCATATTTTTATATTTAACTGTTTTTGTCAGGACAAAAGTGTGATCAGCATTTAATCTGATGATTTGAAAAATGAGAATAACTTTATAGTTGATGGAATCGACATTTATCTTAAAATGGTATCCCCAAACGTGTCCTACTCACCTTCCTCACTAAATTTCAATTTCAATATAGGGAGACAAACACTCCACTTGCAGATCGGAGTTAACCTGATATAATGATATTGTGACGACCCTGCTGTATGCGCTCATCCCTTGTTCATTATGTCATTGTAGAATGGTTATAAATGTCGTCGCTGTGGTAAACTGTGCATCGGAGAGACCAAGCGTCGCCTTGGTGACCGCTTCGCGGAACACTTTCGCAGTGTGCGCCAACAACTGTCTCACTGTTGCGCAGCACTTTTGCGCGCTGCCACATTCCCTCGGTGACGTAACCGTCTGCATTCTGCGGAAAGTGTCATCTGATGTACCGCGTCATTTTCGAACTTGGAACGCTGCATCCAGGAGGAATGAACGGGGATTTCTCCGCGTTCATTCTGAACTGAATCTGCTTGTCGTGAAGAAGTTACTCAGTTACGGAAAGCTCGGCAATCATATATTTCAGAGCACTGATTTCATATTATATTCCTGTCGATATTCTGATCACGGTGCTACGCAGCCCTTTCATATTTCTCGGTTATAAATAGTCTTTGCGAAGCCCCGGGGATGTCCGTTGACGTCAGTACGCATGTTCGTTTGGTGCGAGTCGTGCACTTTTCCACCCGTGGGAAATGGGTGTGGCCACGCGTGACCCGGTACGCGTACAGTACAGTGACCAGCCGGCGCATACCCGTACGGCACACAACTTTCAGCCAACCAGGGGTAAGTGTATCAGGCGAGTTATCCAATCGCTTTTAAGGGGCGGGGTTCAGCATTACTCGGGATAAGTTTCCTAGTTAAGAAATTGTGTTGAATTTAATAAATCTAGAGAACTGGTTTGGACTTGAAACGAAACAGACGTGTTCAATACTGAAATAGTGTGTAGTAGTATTGGCATTAACTTACAGTTTGATGATGTCACAACACTTGGAACAACGCTGAGTATTGTACCGGCTATAACTTTTTAGGCTACGAATATAGTAATGGGACAAGTTTCAAACATGGAAGAAAAAATAAT